ATAATCTTCCGGGTGTAGAAACTGTACTCTTTGTAAATGGTATGGGTATAAGCCTTGCTCGTGAAGTGTGTGTATTACCCGTTTTTGTGAAATGTCCAATTGAGTAGCGATTCTTTTGGTGCTGGTCGTTGCATCTTCTTCCACTAGATCCAAAATATTTTCCACTTCTTTTAAAGTTTATCGATCGGCTTTTTCAGATGTTATTTTAGCACTTGGAAGAGTTCCAGTCTCGCAAAGTTTGTTAAAAACTCGAATAAACACGTTTTTGTCAGGAGCCCTTTACGTGGAAAACGTCGCCGATATTCTTCTACAGCAGCTGTGGCATTGCCATTAAAAAAGCCATAAACAAAAACCATATTAGAATACTCTAAATTTGAATAAACTTTTGGCATTTAAGAAAAAATTAAACCGGAAAATTACAAAAATACCACTGACGCTGACAGTTAAGCCTTTTAAATGTAAACAATATAACTATGGAAACAAAAACTTTGTTTCCATAGTTTTTCAAAGAACATTAGATAATAATTTATTTTTAAATTTTTTTTTTTAATTTCGCTATAACTTGAAAACAAATAAGAATCGGATAAGAACAGTTGAGTTTTTTTTATTATTTTGATGTGTAGAATGCAGTCCTAGAGTTTAGATCCATCCTTCATTACTTAATTACAGTAGATTTGCTGTGACAAATATTTAAAACTTTCCAACAATGTAGTTTCATATTTAAAATAAGGATTTACCTCTGTCTCTTAAGAATAAAACAAAATAAATAATGTAAATTAATTTTCAAAGAAAGGTGACTCATTAGACAACTAACCAGTTGTTATTTTTGCAAACTTCTGATAAAGATTATTTGGGTACTTTTTACCTGAAGTGAATGCTAATTTATTAATATATAAACATTAATAAAAAATAATTTAAACAATAAATGTACCTCATCAAACGAGGTTAATGGAAAAAATATTAATCCCGGCGCATCCGCCATATAAAAAAAAAAGAAAGAAAAAACTTGTTTCGTATGTTTTAAAATTGGCCAAGAATTACCCTTTTACCTTTGGAAAAGTTTTACCAATAAATGTACAATATAGGACTTAATATTTCTATGATTTTTGTGCAATTGCGATGGCCAACAATGATCAAATTGTGCCCAAAAACACAATATTGCCCACCATGTCTCACTATAATTTTCTTGTGTAGTTTGGCTCACTAAACGCAAATTCACACTTAAATTTTTTTCATGAAAGCGTTTTCGAAATATGGATTTTCAATTGTTTTTTTTTATTTTCTGAGGTGTTTTGACGTTTTAGAGTATACCTCGAGTTCTAATTGATCGATTTGACCAAACAAGCGCTTAAATCAAAGGAAATTGAGCCCTCTATAACTTTGTCTTGTATAGTTTTGATATCGGCTCAGTAGTTCGATACTGGCGATTTTATGAAGTTGAAAAAGTCCTTTTTTTTTTACAAAAATCGAGGTCGAAAATTTACATATCTTAGAAATCGAAAAGATAATTCTAGTTTGATTTATTTTACGTATAGATTAAAGGAAAAAAATAAGCTGCTGTTTATAAAAATCCATGGATAAATGGCGAAGTTATGAATTTTTCAGTGGAAGAGCAAAATTCAGTTTTTCGAGAATTTTTACGTTTTTTCTTAATTTTATTGAATTATATAAAATTTCATATTGAATACTGATTTTTATTTTAAATATTGAAATTAAACTATATATTGAATATTGAACAATAAATATTGGACATTGAAGCTATTGAAAGTTTTATTTTGTTGTAATAAGCATAGGTTTAACAAAATTCTGGCTCCTTCTTTGTTTTTTGTTGCTTTCGTATTCCGTTTCTTTATGAGGGACCAAATGTAATCACCCATCATGGCTGCATCCCAGAAGCCGTGATACCGCCGCTCCATAGCCTTCATTTGCTGGTGAAAACGTTCTCCGTGCTCATCACTTACGTCGCCCAGATTGTGCGGGTTATTTACGCACTCGAACTCCCTACTTCTTTTACTTATTTTGCACTTTTTATTGACTAAATAAAACCATTATAAAAATACCTTGTTGAAATATCAAAAAATACCAGTAAAATGTCACTATGCCAACACGAGAAACAAAATAATTCACGTTTGCGGAGTCATGTCAAATTTAAATTTTAAATAATGTTTTCGGTGAAAAAAGTACGTAAAAAACTCAAAAAATTCCAATCATGCACTTTATTTAGGTTTTCATTAAAGAATAAACATATTACAAAATAAAATAAAAAAAATTAAATAAATATCGTCAAAAAGCTTGTTTTTTTTTGTAAAAATGTCAGCTTTACGACTGGAGTTATCTGTCTGATTAAAACATTTCCCAGGACGATATGTAAATTTTCGACCTCAATTTTTGACATAAAAACGAATTTTTTAAGTTAATAAAATCGTTAGACAGCCATTCCACCTTACTCGTTAATTTTTGTAGCGTCCGTTACAATTAAAAATTGTGAGTAAAAGTACAGTAATTATGATGCTTATAAACTTAAGTCTAATTATTACAAGCATAATAAACATGTTTGCAATAGTAACTATTGTAATACACAGTAAAAAAAAATCAACTCTAAGCAACACTAATTAGAGTTCACACAGGTCCACACTAAATAGTGTTGTTTTATAACACTACAATTAGAGTTAATTTGTAGTGTAATTTTCCCCAAGTAACCAAGTATGATTTAACACTATACCACTGAGGATAAAGTAATTTTACACTGTATTAAAAAGTGTTAATTTACCAAAAATCGTGTACTTCTACACTTCCTGGGTAAAATCACACTTTTGTTCAGTGTAAATTAACACTACTTTGGAAAAGCTCTAATTTTAGAAAGGTACTTTTACTCTTTTAGTGTAAATTAACACTATTATTTGAGTAAAACCTATTGGTGGTAGTGAATAAAACGAAAAGGTAAATAAAGAGAAACATTTATTTGGTACAAAAATCTATGAGAATTATCAAAATCGGTGCCTTTTAAAATATAATTTTATATTTGAGTCGTATGACTGGCTTAAGCAAAATGGTTTCTTAAAACGTAAAAGTGTTAGATCAATGCAATGTTTTACTGGCTGTCAATCTTGAGAATCATCAGTAATCCATTTTTCTGTTTTAAAAAATGGGTGATCCTATTGGTAGAGAGGCGTCAGGCTAACTGAACAAAAATGCCACACTTCCACAACGCGGTATCTCCGGATATACACTGCGTAGGTCGATAGGTACCAACCAAACATTTTAAAACGCATTTTGGTTATTACCAGTTTTTTCAGTCTATTTTGCCATTATTGGTGTAATTTAACTTTAATTGTGATACAATGTGCACTAGTAGTGTACATTTTGTCACTATTTAACACATTAAGGGGTAATAAACACTCGCATTAAGTTTTTCCACTCTTTTGATTTATTTTAATAATAAATAGTGTGAATCAGTGGCGGCTCGTCAGGGTAGGCCTTTGAGGCCGCGCCTCACCCTTAAAATAAAGGAACGAACGACTTTTTGTATTTATATTTTTGCCTATTACAAGTATATTTTTACAACAGTTCTACCCAATAAAAAGTAAAAAACCAATCAATCATATTAAGCGTAAATAAAAATCCAGGCGCAAAGCGCGTCAAGTTAACGTGCATCGTTGAGTCGCTTGGACAGAGGCGAAATTTTCACAGCCTCGGAAGCTCCCATTTACCTCTTGAAAGCGAAAATGACTCACCAACAAAAATATCGCCGTAAGTTCGCGAATAAACACCGTAGATGAGGCGAAATTTAGTTGGCTTGGTTTGTTCTGATTGGTGGTCTGTTTATGGTGGGATGCCAGCGGAGACAAAGAAGGTTGCCAGTCTTCTCTTAGCGTTTGTAGAGCACGTTATTGTTTTGATTCAGATTAAATTATTTAAAACTTTTGGCTGATCTTTTATAGTTTTTGTCTCGATTAGTAAAATTTCTTATTTAATTATTGTAGGGAACACACTAAGGTAGATTTAGAAGTTTTTATTAAGCAAATTTTATATTTTGAAATAATAGATTGCATAATTCTTCAATTAGAGACGCGGTTTGAAAATTTAGAATTACTTTTAAATCTCACTGCAGACCCACAATTTTACGACCAAATAATAGATAAATTTTCAATCTTAAAAGATAGACGTATAGTATTTTATATTTTTTAATACTTAGTAGGTCGATTAATTTATTTATTTTTAACTTTTTTAAGACTATATTTTAAGTTTAAGATTAAAACTAGTCTTTGATGTGATATTTTGTTTGTTTTGTTTTTTAGAGTTTATTTTTTGGTTTAGTAGTGCTATCGGCTCCATTTTAAAAAAGGTCAACGCGTCGCAGAATAATACCTCCCGGGTGACGTGGAAATTTATTCGTATTTAGACAAAATTAACCTTATGTAGCCTCACCCTCCTGTACACCCACGAGCCGCCACTGGTGTGAATGTACCAATGAATAATGTTCATATTCTTTAAATGTGTTTTATAAAGTTAATAAGCACTAAATGCTACCTAGTGTATTTTGTAGTGTAACTTTTACACTTACAAATCAACTCTAATATTTTTACCCCTACACTAAAAATTTCACGGGCAAACTTTTTTACTGTGTAGTATTTAATTTAATTACGGTAGCTTTTACTCACAATTTTTGATTGTAACGGACGCTACAAAAATTCCCGAGTAGCGTGGAATGGCTGTAGAGTCAAAATACATGGGAAAATTATAATGTGATATGGTGGGCAGATTTTTTTTTAATTTAAAAATAGAGCAATGAGATCATTTGTTGCACGTGGAAGCTTAGAGTCGCGTGATGAAAATCAATAGAGGCAGAGATGCTTCCGATGCCAGAGCGTGAAGCGTAGAGCGTCCAGTCTCCGGCCGCGACTGGCGCAGGCAAAACACCCCGTAAAATGCTTCGTTTTAGATGTAGTGAGAGTGCTTTAGGTCGCCAAAAATAGCCGAAACCCCGCCAAGCCCCAACCACACTCAACAACATGCTAACCACAAACCACAACCTTTTATTTAAGGCGATAGTGCTCGCGTTGTGCGTCATTTCGTTTGTCCACGTATTTTTGTTTCCGCTGTACGATCTGGGCGCCTCCAAGGCCAACCTGAAGACTTACCAGGACTTCGAGCAGAGCCTCTGCATCAGCAACCTGAGGCACCAGAGGGTGCTGAAGAAGTCTGCGTGTCCGCAGTATGGCATTGTAACCATCGTGCAAGGGGGGAGACTAGGTAGTGGCTTTTTGCAGAACCACCAGTTGTTCATGCCTTGCTAATATGGCTATATTACCACTAATTGTAATGTTAAAAGATTTATTTTTGGTGTACCACTTAACTAAGAAGCACTCTATCGAAAGCTATTAATATTATTTAAAAAATTTATACTGGGTGTTTGGTATTTACGTTGACTTTTTTGTCACTTTAAATACCAATAACTTTCTTATTTCAAATGAAACTACCATACCATTTTCACATCATTCGACACAAAACAATGTTTTCTATTGAAATACAGCAACACTCCCTATACCTTAAATGAATATTTACAAAGATTTTACAAAAAATGTGAAAAAAACGCTATATTTTTATTTGTAGAAGTTTTAGAAAGAACAATAAGAACTTTTAATAAAAGGTATCTTAATTTAACCCCACTTAAAAAGTGAGACAAGAGTTTGTCTCATAAAGAAATGTTGAGAACAACTTTTGAATATACGTATCAATATGTTTCGTGAACAACACTTAACAATTTGGGTAAACCACATAGATATTGGACACTTTAAAAATTATATATGCCGTTTTTTTAAAGATTTTAGTTTTTTTCTTATAAATAAATAAAAAGGATAGTTTGTTTGTTTAAACTTTATTTACGTTTACTTAAAAATAAGAATATTTGAATTTTTAATAATAGATTTATAAGAACAAGAATTTTTATATAAACACAACAACTTTACATCAAATAACGTAAATTGTTAAATATTTTTAAAAAATAAATTGCTGTTTTAGGTAATTTTTTTTTATTTCGTTTGTGCAAATATCATATAAATTATATATTTCTTTCTCGGATTCCTCGTCCCTTTTCTGGATTCTGAAGGTAAATACAAATTTCTTGGTCTTACTTCTGAAATAGTTTGTTGCAAATATCATTAAGTTTGTGAAGCATTTACAATGTTTAGGCCGGAACAGAATGATTTATATATATCTAATATTTTTTCGGGTGGCATGTTTAAATTTTTTTTCAAATTTATTAATTTTGTTGCCATTAGTTTTTTATGTTCTCTATCATGCACTGTATTTAAATCACTGTTATTTTGCAAGATGTCCTTTGACAAAAATCACTATATTACTTACTCTCTAAAAATGAATTAGTCAAAAATGTCATAGCGAAAAAGCAGCCACTAATAATTCTCGTCAACAGCAATTTGTATCCAGGACATTGAGCAGTCAATTCCTTTAAAATATTATTCGCTGAATCCGAAAATGTTATAAAAATAAAACAGTTTTTGAAATATACCTTATCAATTTTACATATAATATGGAATTGACTTTATCTTAAAAACTGCTTAACTTTTAGGGTTTTTGACGATCTTTTCGGATTGAGGGGACAATTTTCATAAGAATTGGCTGGTAAATGTCCGGGATACAAATAGAATATGATATTGGACATATGTCCAATAATAGAAATTTACATTTTTTACCAACCAGTAAATGGACACTGGCCATTTTACTGTTTGTTTTCAGAATTAAAATTAAAACGCATTAAAGTGACAATGTTTAAACCAATAGAAACACATTTATACCACACACTCATCTGTACACTTTTTAGAAATATTTTTTATTGTAATTTAAACACAGCCCTGCTCTTGACAAAAAAAACAAAAATCTTACCACCAAAGTAACGTGCGAACTTTTTTGTCCTAGATTGGACCCAAAATAAAGTAGTTCTATATTATTACCGACTGAGATGGTTATAATTGTATACAGCTTCATCTAATGATTTGACTTATTGATTAATTTTATATTAAAAAAGTTGACAAGAATCATACACAGCTTTGTCGAGTTTATTAAGTTTAAGTTTAACTTTTTATTTTGTTTTTTATGGTTTTGTATAACAAAATTGTCTCAAAAATTATAGAAAAAAAATTTAATAATTATAAAAGACCTAGCGATTTTTGTTGTAATTTTGTATACATATACTTACAATACACTGTTTAAAATATCTGTGGTGTAAAAAGTAATCCCAAAATGGTGTCAAAATCCCACACCAAGTGGTGTTAATATAACACCATGAATTATGCTTAAAAATGTTTTATACAGCAAACACCAAAACGGTGTTTGTATAAAAATATTTGAGAAGTGCACCTACACAGAAAAAAAGGAATAGTTAGTTCATTTAACTATATTAATTTAGTTGACCCATAAGTATTTATTTAAATCAACTATGGGAAGATTAATATAAACTAAGATTAGTTTGACGGTACTAAACCAGATAGTTATTTTTTTAAATTGGTTAAATTAACCCAGAAAACTTTAGTGAAACCAACCCGCTGTATGGTTCACTTTACTAAATGTATTGTTTGTAAAATAAGAGTTACTTCAACCTAAAGCACTCTGTTAAAACGATTAAAACAATTTGCCGTGCATTCCTGGTTACATAGTGTGTACCGATCGCGGCAAAGACGGTGTATATAAGCTCAGGTAGTTCTTTGCTTTGGTGTGACACTACAAGTTGCTCGATACTAAAGAGACCTTAAATAGGTGGAAACAGCTGTCGATACTTGAAGTATGTTAAGTTGGTGGAACGCACTAAAAACATTATCTCTAGCGAGTTGAAGGTTCAATTTTCTGGAATAATACCACTGGTAATATACTTGTAATGTGTCAAGGAACTTCCTGTTTCCTTTTTTCTGTGTAGTATGATTTAATTTGACCAAAAACACATTATATTTAACACTGAAAAGGTGTTCAACTTACACCAGGTAAAATTTATTTTAACACTGTGTGAAAGTTAAATTTACACCATTTTAGTATTTGAATTTACACCGGACCAACGAACCTTATTTAACACCATTTTGGTTTGTATCGATATAGACCACTTATGGTGTTAATTTGGTGTTAAAATGGTCATGAAATTTTGAACAGTGTACCGCGTGACTCGTAATACAGCGTGACGACTCGTTAGTGCGCCGTCTTCGGGACACCCCGTATATCTTTATTTAAAAAATATAATTAATCCCGGCGCATTCGCCATTTTTAAAACATGAAAATTATTGCCGTTTTTAAGTTTGGAATTGATTTTTAGTTTTTTAATTAATGTAGGTAATTGACTTTTTTTAAAGGAATTTTAACTTTTTAAATTGTGTATGAAGCCCCAGACAAACCACCATAACAATCGAACTGTCAGTAATCAATGATAACAAAGTACCTACTAACCGATTTTGAATAAGTTTAAAAAGTTGCTTGATATTACATAATACAATGTGCGCATACCTGTTTCTTTTTTGCTTGGATGAATAATACATTGTTTTAGAGATAAAAACAATGATCAAATTACGTTTTTCGTTTGTAATAAAACGTTTTTAAAAAGTTTATTTTAGTTACAAGGGATGATGGTAGGTAGTAACACACAAATTTACTCGAACTAGACAACAGTGTTTATTACGCTAAACTAAGTTCACAATTAGATTGAAGTGGTATATATAACCTAATATTCTTAGTCAGCTTTTTCTAGGCTGCTGCACAGACGATAAATGCATATGTGCCCTAATATACAGGGGCACGTAACTCCTCCCTCCTTAAAAGTGAAGTCCAGGGCTGAAGGACTCATGGTCTTCCGGTAGGGTGGACAAAGGCGTGTCTTGTGGAGGTTCGCTGCGATTGAAGGGGCAGCTCTTTCGGTATCTCCACGTAATATATAGGCTAGAACATATTAATATAAGGATAAAAAATCCGAAGTTCCAGCCATGGTATTTCCAAACGGATTCGAACGTATTTATGTGAGATGCTTCCATTAAGTGTCTCAGATTGTGGAGGTCGTCAAGGTTAATTTTTTCTAATTTAACCGTAAAATTTGGATGAGAGGGTTTTAAAACATCATATTGGAAATTATTGAAGTAAATTGGGAAAGACTCTTTAGTGACTCGCAGGGGTTGTAATATTTTATTGTCTATTGAAACATGTCCTCCATTAGGAATAAACAAAAGATAGGTTCCTTTAATAGGAGTGGGTTTGTCGATAATTCCATTTGACATGATGACTTTTGTTGTTTTGGGAAAAATTACTATCCAGTTATTTGTATCATCGATACGTTGAATATAAGTTGTTTCTATGTTGAGGGAAAGGCTTTTACAGGAAGAAAGGGGAAGTCCGTCGATAATTTGTGTAGCACATGAAGGTCTGGTAGATTCGTCTTCAATGGTGTATTGGCATAGATAGTTGCGATTGGCCAACGTTTGACATTTCAATATGTTATCAAAAATATAAGTTGATTTATTTTTTAAAAGAAATTTACTTTTCGGCATTACAGTTTCGAAAAAGTTATTATGCATAATAGGAATCGGGTATAGGTGGAAAGTTTCAAAAGTTTCATTTCGTATAAGAGGCACATCTAAAATAAATGTTAATTTATAATTAGATATGTAACAGCTAACCTTAATTAATTCTTCGAATAATACAATATTTTCAATAGTAGGCGTTAAAGGTAGTTTAGCATGTAAGCTGATATTTTTAAGTTCACTTAATAAATCAGTAGGTTCAATGATCGAAGAATGTAAAGTTTTTAGTTGTGCAAAAGTAATAGAATTTAAAATATCAGAAATTATAAATTTAAGGTTATTTGTTAAATTAATTAAATGATCCAAAATCATTTTAATATGCAAAAACTGTTCAAAGGTCTCAATAGGAAAATTATTTAATTTTGTATTAATTAATTCTTCATTATGCATAACGGTATTTAAAGTATTGTTAAATTTATTTATAAGTTTTAAGGAAATTGAAATTTGTTTATTAACTGTTGAACGAATTTCTTTATTTTGGTTTTGTAATATATTTATTGCATTGTCATATATTTTTCCGTCGTTAGCGTCTAAATTGCCCGAAATTAATTTAAACACGGAACCCAATCCGTCAATTAAACCTCTTTTGTATCTTTTAGGAAGAATAGTTGTAATTTGTGACTTTAAATGTTTAATATTAAAAATTAAAAGATTTTTGTATTCTATTAAGTCTTTATAAAAATC